GGAACTACAAAGGAACCTCTAGGTACATGCATACATACATACATACATGCATGCATACTTACATACATCCATCCATCCATCCACCCATCCACCCATCCATCCATACATCGTCATGCATCGTCATACATTTTGACGTACATTCATACAGACAGACAGACAGAAAGAAAGACAGACAGGCAGGCAGGCAGGCAGACAGACAGACATACCTGGGTTCAGACTTTGCTCTGACTCGGTTTTGGTTGCTGCTCGTAGACTCTTCCATTTAGCTACTTGGATCCTTGTGGATACCTGTTGGCTCGTACACACGTCGTCGATGCGTGTTTGGGTGTCAGGGTTTACAAATGGATCTCGGGTTAGGGTTTCAGGCTTACGGGTTCAGGCTTACCGTAGGGGCCTTAATATTAATTAGAATAGGGTTTCGGGGCCCATTATACTTTCATTATAATCAGGAACCCCCGAAATAACATTGGTAATTACTTCGGCCTCTACATTATGCCACCAAAACGAACCATATCAGCACAACAGCAGAATCCCTAAACCCTAAACCCATTGGACGAGGAAGGTAGTGTCTGGAGCCGCTTGCCGGCAAGCTGGAAATCTGACATCAAGCCCAGAGACTCAAAGGGTTTAGGGTTTTGGGGGGTTAGGGTTTAGGGTTTAGGGCCTTCAGGATTCACAGAGACTCCAATACCCGCTTAATTAAGGAATAGACCTGAAATCATATGAGGGATCCTACTATAATTTACGGTATACTCTTATGAATTAAGGGATATTGGAGTCTCTAGGAGTCCAAAACACCCTAACTTCGCAGACATTTCTAGCGGCTGGAACACGAAGCCCGGGCTAAGAGTCAGGATGCATTCTGTCGCGCAGCCCTAAATCCTAAACCAAAACCTCCACAAGACCCCAAACGGTTGAATGCTACATCCCGTGGCCCACTGCAAAGGAGGGAAACCGTCGGTAGGTGCTGCCGAGGATGTCTCTGACCTCAATCGGACAACTGAAAAGCTTCGACGGCTGGTTAAGAGAAAGTTCTGCTGGATTTCGGATTTCGTGTTAAGGGCCAAGGCGCTTTGGGGCATGTTTTGTGGCAGTTGAAATCTCCAAGGGCTTACTTCTTTTGCAACCCTCATCTCACACTTCATATTTATAAGTATATACATATATGTATACACACGTACATACATGCATGCATGCATGCATGCATGCATGCATATAGCTGGTGAAGGACAACTATGCCTCAGACTTTTCAACATACTCAACACGGGGGCCGGTAGTCTCAAAATGGGTTTTGCGGAAGTTAAACTATAATTATAAGAGGTTTAGGGTTTAGGGGTTCAGGGTTTAGGGGTTTAGGGTTTACGGGTTCTTGGGCATTACAAATCGCAGGACATGGCCTTAAACCCTAAACTCTAAAATCGCTGCAAGATTGGGGACCGGCAGCAGGACGGGAGTCCTGAAACCACGCAGGCCCAAAATTCTCAATGCTGAATTAGGTTCGGGGCCTGAAATTATAGAGGTATAGGCGGGACAGTGATGCCTGGGCTCGGACCGAACCATAATTACCCTGTCAACTGCACGCCTATACTCTAGAAAAACTCCAAAACCACTCTTGTACGGTCCAATAAAGACCCTAACCCCTAAACCAAATTATATAAGCTATTAAACCCTAAAGCGTTCTAAAGCTTCAGGGTTTCGCGTGCAGGGGTTGAGGGCTTGGTGGACATCGGCTTCCCCTGCCCGTTTAAAACTCCGAAAGTAAGGGTTTGTGTTTAAAGTTTAGGGCTTTAGGGCTCTAGAGGTTTAGGGTCGAGGGGTTTAGGGTCATTGGTTTCGGGCTTCAGGGCTTTTGGGGTTTAGGGTTTCAGAGTTTAGGGTTGGCAGAATCATAAAGGGCCCGTTGGCCTGCGTCGCATTCCACCATGCACCGCGAATCCCAAGTACGGAAGCCGCAAATGCAACACGCTGAACAGCGAGCCAGCAAGCTCCGCACATCCCCGCGCCTAAGCCCTCTTTCGCGAACCAACTCCAAACCAAATCACCAAGCCCTAAACACCAAACCCTAAACCCTAAACCTCGAGCCCCAAACTAGGAACTGGACCTGGCCTGGACCTGTAGTCCCACAATCCTATTCTTGATCCTCAGCTTCACCTCTACCTAGAATAAGCAATGTACCTTCAAAACAGGAATCTGACTCTTAAGAATAGGCACATTTAGCTTCAGGAAAGGTACGTTGGTTACCCCTAAATCCCGGGGAAACCAAAACCCCAGATTCTAAACCCAAAACCTCAGGGAAACCAAAACCCCAGGCCCTAAACCCTAAACCCCAGGGAAACCAAAACCCCAGACCCTAAACCCTAAACCCGCCAGAAATGACAGCTCCAAGCCCTGCTTCTGAAACTTTCGTCAAAGACGACGCAGACCGACGCTCTGCTCTGCTCTGTACAGGATTTAAGGCTTGAGCCCCCAATTCTCAGATCCAGAGACGCTAGAAATCTCAAGACTGAGAAATACCAACTTTACCAGATCACCGCCGAAAACCCTAAACCCTAAACCCTGAAACCCTAAAGCCCTGAACCCCAAAATCTAATTCTCTCCTAGGAACCTGCAAGGATCTCTTGAACATTAAGGGTACCCTTTTTCCTACTCTTCGGTTTTAATAAAGGAGCCCCAAAATAAAAAGGGCAACAGGGTACTACTGTTGATTATCTGCATCCTACACTACGTTAAGGACCCTAAACTATGGGGGTTATAGTATACTCTTTACTATGGGTAATGCAGGATATGTATCAACCGTATGACTAACCCTAAACCCTAGACCCTAGACCCTAAACCCAACCCATAGGCCCCATAGTAGTTCGTTTTGGGGGTTCATATATACAGAATCCTATAAAGTAATCCCAAAAAGGAACTACTATGGGGCCTATGAGTAGACCCTAAACCCGAAACCCAATCCAACCGTACCGGGGGAACCCCCCCTAAACCCTAAACCCTAAACCCCAAACCCTAAACCCTAAACCCTAAACCCTAAACCCTAAACCCTAAACCCTAAACCCTAAACCCTGAACCCAATACAACCGTACGGGGGAACCCAGGAGCCCTTCAAGCCTACACTGCTCTTTGGGTCGCGGACTCCTGGGTTTTCCAGAACCAACAGCCTCGATGCCAGGGCTGTGCTGCTCTTTCTGGGAGGCTCAGGGTTTAGGGTTTAGGGTTTAGGGTTTAGGGTTTAGGGTTTAGGGTTTAGGGTTTAGGGTTTAGGGTTTAGGGTAGTGGGGCTAAATGTAGGGGTCTAGATAATTAGAATAGGGTGGTGGGGGTTTCTTATTATAGTTGTAGTATACTATACCCCAAACCCTGTTCTAATTTTTAAGGCCCCCCCAAAAATAGGCGGGTCAGGGATCATAGGGCTTCCAGGGTTTAGGGGTTTAAGGGTTAGGGTTCAGGGTTCAGGGTTTATCCTGTGTCCTTGTTTTGGCGAAGGTGTTAGAAGGGCTTTGTGATAAGGTTCTGCAGGAGTTTTACATTGGCCTTGTAGGGCTCTGGAAGGGCTTGTCTAAAAAGAAGTTGCCATCATCGGGATGAAAGGTAAACAGCTACACATCATGTGTTCCGCATAGCAGGTTCCTTGAAACCAGCCAAGTTGAGACCCGGCAATGCCCGGACTTCTGTATAGATGCATGAAGATCATTTTCTAGACCTTAACACCCCTTAGCCCTAAACTCTCAGCCCTAAGTGATTCCTAGTCTAAACCTGAACCATAAACCCTAACCCCTAAATGATACCCAGCCCTAAACACTGAACGAAGAACTCCGACAAATGCACGGCCGGTTGGGGGAGTCGTAGAGTTCCTCCCAGAGTTTGGGGTTCAGACCATATTGTTCAGGGTTCATGGTTTAGTGTTGAGGTGGCGGGATTTTGAGAAATAACGAAGTTTTAAATTCTTGAGCTTTTCTATGGGGTTCGTAAAGCCTTAAACGCTAAAGCCTAATTTTAAATCTGTCGGATTTGCAGGGCTCGCGTTCTGGGGAATTTTCAGGTTGCGGGTATAGAAGGCATGAGGGGTGAATCTAGGATATTCCTGTCGAGCCTTACCGGGAACCCTGACGTTACTCCTAATCACGGTGTCGGTGTCGTCGGCCTTGCTGTCTTGCAGGGGCTTTGCCTTCGTGGATGTTGTGAGCATTGACACCGTGCACAGTGGAAGAAAAGCCTCATGCACGTTCTTCTCCGCCTCTGTTGCGCAAGCTATCATGCTCTCGTGTTCGCTCTTGAGCTGCTTCTTCTCTTCTCGATCAGGTCCCGACATGCCTGGCTCTCAAACCAATGTCGAGGATCTAGCTCTGTCTGCTGACGCTTTTCAACCCGGCTCGCACGAGCACTGGCACAGGGATCAGCACTCGGAGCACTGGGCCCTGCACTGACACTGGCACTCGGCTCGGCGCCCATTTGGAAGGCTTTGTTTGCAAAAAAACTTACGCAAACACTAGTTGAGGTGAAAGCAGCGAGTTCGAAAACTCTCCCGGATGTTGACATCAGACTGGAGTCAGTGCTTCACCATAAGTAGTTACAGGAGCTCTGGTGCAGGTTCAGGGGTCATAGAGGTGCCTCTACAACACTAATACTTAAAATCCCCAAACTATCACGGACGTCCTGTCCATTCCTAATCCCGGTAGTAATGGAGGTAACTGTCTTGACCATGAAGTCGCAACAGTCAACCCTCGAATCAGAAGACAATCACGCCGAACACGGTACCCTCAGGACACTCGCGCCAAAAACTTCAAAGCTATCAACCGTATACCCGGGTGTGGACTACAATGGCTACAACTCTCATGCCAAAAAACAAACCCGACACCGGAGCGGCACAATGTTATATGTTCTTCTAACACATCCCTGGAAAGCTGCACTATGATACCTCCAAACCGCAAACTCTACCCCTTACCATTCAAATTCTTACTTTGTGCGTGACAAGAGGCTGCTTCGGCGGCTCTTTCGGTTTCTGTCCCTGCATGGCGTTCAGAGTCTCAGCTTGGCTATGATGTCCTAAACCCTGAACTTTGTGATGATTGGCTTGTTGTCTAAGCTCGTCGGATTAAAGGTTGGTTCCGAAGACCTCGGGTGAAGGATTGGCTGGTGGAGGTTCAGGGTTCACGACTTCGGGTTTACTTCGAAGGCTTGACCTTACTTGACTTGCTGTGTGGTGGTTCCGGCGAAAAGCATTGTTGCCATTACGAGCAGTGCTAGTGGCAGTTAGGTCAGGAGCAGGAGCAGGAGCAGGAGCAGGAGCAGGAGCAGGAGCAGGAGCATCAGCAGCAGCAGCGGTAGCAGCAGCAGCAGCAGCAGCAGCAGCAGCAGCAGTAGTAGTAGTAGTAGTAGTAATAGTAATAGCAATAGTAATAGTAGTAGTCGCCGTCGTCGCAGTAGCAGCAATCGGAGTAGGAGCAGCAG